CACACAACGCTATTTGAATCAAATGAAAGTCTAATGCATTCTACAAAGCTAATTGAATCAAAAGAAAGTCAAACACATTCAAACAAAGCTTTTTAAATCAAATAAAAGTCAAATGCATTCAACAAGCTAATTGAATCAAATGAGAGTCAAATGCATTTTATAAAGGTAATTAAATCAAATGAAAGTCAAACACATTAAAACAAAGCTAATTGATTCAATGAAAGTCAAACACATTAAACAAAGCTTTTTCAATTAAAGTCAAATGCATTCAAAGCTATTTGAATCAAATGAAAGTCAAATGCATTCTACAAATCATATTGAATCAAATGAAAGCCAAATGCATTCTACAAAGCTAATTAAATCAAATGAAAGTCAAACACATTCAAACAAAGCTAATTGATTCAAATAAAAGCCAAACTGATTCAAACAAAGTTTTTGATCAAAATTAAAGTCATATGCATTCTACAAAGCTAATAAGTCAAATGAAAGTCAAATGCATTCTAAAAAGCTAATTAAATCAAATGAAAGTCAAACACATTCAAACAAAGCTTTTTGAATCATATTAAAAGTCAAATGCATTCAAAGAAGCTATTTGAATCAAATGAAAGTCAGATGCATTTTTCAAATCATATTGAATCAAATGAAAGTCAAATGCATTCTACAAAGCTAATTAAATCAAATGAAAGTCAAACACAATAAAACAAAGCTAATTGAATCAAATGAAAGTCAACCACATTCAAACAAAGCTTTTTTAATCAAAAGAAAGTCAAATGCTTTCAACAAAGCTCATTGAATCAAATGAAAGTCAAATGCATTCTATAAAGCTAATTAAATCAAATGAAAGTCAAACACATTCAAACAAAGCTAATTGATTCAAATGAAAGTCAAACTCATTCAAACGAAGTTTTTTGAATCAAAATTAAAGTCATATGCATACAACAAAGCTAATAAAGTCAAATGAAAGTCAAATGCATTTTAAAAGCTAATTGAATCAAATGAAGGTTAAACACATTCAAAACAAAGCATTTTGAATCAAATGAAAGTGAAATGCTTTCAACAAAGCTAATTGAATCAAATGAAAGTCAAACTCATTCAAACAAAGCTTTTGAATCGTGTGAAAGTAAAATGCATTTAACAAAGCTAAGTGAATCAAATGAAAGTCAAATGCATTCTACAAAGCTAATTGAATCTAATAAAAGTCAAACACATTCAAACAAAGGTAATTGAATCAAATGAAAGTCAAACACATTCAAACAATGGTTTTAGAATCAAATGAAAGTCAATGCATTCTATAAAGCTAATTGTATCAAATGAAAATCAAACACATTCAAAAAAGCTATTTAAATCAAATGAAAGTCAAATGCATTCTACAAAGCATATTGAATCAAATGAAAGTCAAGCACAATCAAACAAAGCTAATTGAATCAAATGAATGTCTAATGCATTCTACAACGCCAATTGAATCAAATGAAAGTCAAACACATTCAAACAAAGCTTTTAGAATCAAATCAAAGTAAAATGCATTCATTAAAGCTAATTGTATCAAATGAAATTCAAATGCATTCTACAAAGCAAATTAAATCAAATGAAAGTAAAACACATTCAAACATAGCTAATTGATACAAATAAAAGTCAAACATATTCAAACAAAGCTTTTTAAATCATATGAAAGTCAAATGCATTCCACAAAGCTAATTTAATCAAATGAAAGTCAAATGCATTTTACAAAGCTAATTGAATCAATTGAAAATGAAAAGCATTCAAACAAAGCTAATTGAATCAAATGAAACTCTAATGCATTCTACAATGCTAATTGAATCAAATGAAAGTCAAACACATTCAAACAAAGCTTTTTGAATCAAATGAAAGTCAAATGCATTCAACAAAGCTAATTGAAACAAATGAAAGTCAAACACATTCAAACAAAGGTAATTGAATCAAATGAAAGTCAAACACATTCAAACAAAGCTTTTTGAATCAAATGAAAGTCAAATGCATTCAACAAAGCTAATTGAATCAAATGAAAGTCAAACACAATCAAAAAAGCTAATTGAATCAAATGAAAGTCTAATGCATTCTACAACGCCAATTGTGATGTGGATTTAAACCCCTTAACTTAATAAAGAATCTAAAATCACACAAGTAACACAAGCCCTTCGAATTTCGTTAGAAAATCGAACAACTTAAAGATAACAAACCGGATATGACTTTGAAAACGACCACTCCTGGAACGAATTCAACGCCTCTCAAATTACCTAGACCACTCCTGGAACTAAGTAATTTGAAGAACAAAACTTATACTACTCCTAGAACTAAGAATTGAACGTTCTAATTATCAAAACAACTCCTTGAATTGAAAACTAGCAAAAGAATTTGTAAGCAATTAAGCAAAACAAACAATAAACTTGTATTGAATTTTCTGGTTTTTGTTGTTGTGTACAAAGCCACGAAAAATCCCTTATTTATAGACTAAAACTAACTATTCCTAAGTCTATTCAAACTAGAAAAAACCCTAGCCTTGATCCCAAAGTATCCTAGATAGAATAGGAAAACCAATTAATGGAACTAGGAAACTAGTAATAAGACTAGTTCTAATTAACCTAAAACTTCTTAAAACAATTCCTAATTGACTTAGAAATTATTTTAAAAAAATAACAGAAATTAAGAAGATTCCTAATTGCTTAAACCAAGAAAAACCCTTTCAAGTGAAAGGTAAAAACTTGCAAGCAAAAACTCTAGAAAAAACTAAGTAAAGAAAATCATGCTTTTCGTTCTGTCGCCGAAACTCTTTGCACGCGCCACCAAGGTGGTGCACGCGCCTGACCAATGTCAAGATGGGTCCAAGGCGGAGCTAGGGAGTAGGCGCGTGGGCCTGGAGTTGGTGCGTGACAGCATGTGTGCTCGTCGGAAGTGAACTTCACAATTTCTTCTTCTTTGTAATTCGTGCTTGTTTCTTTCCAATTTAAGCTATTGGATCTTTCCTTGTTTATTATCTTGTTTATTTTCTTGTTTGGGAAGCCTGTTTCGGGGTTTTCTGATGTCCTGCGGGAGAGTTACAATTCCGAGACTGGAACCGACGCCTGTACCTGCAAAACAAACGGATGCTCCGGATGATTGGAGATCCGCCTCCGACGGTCATTTTAGTACTTGATTAAGGAGTAATTAATGCGGAAATTAAAGTGATTGGGTCTCTCTAGGTGAGAGTGTTTAATGTGTGTAATCTGCGTTTTTAGCGTGTAATCTCCCTTAATGAGGATTAAGGAAGGTATTTATAACCTCGGGAAACGTGTCAATCTAGGTTTAGGTTAACCTTGGGTTGATTGGGCTTCCCTCGGAAGTTGGGCCTAGGTGACCGGTTATCCCAGGTGTCATGGGAAGGACACGTGTCGTGTCGTAATTGGTCCATAGTGGACGGATCATTGCTAGACACGTGGCAGGCTCCTATTGGCCCATGTGACGGACACATGGCGGAACCTGATTGGTCCACTTGTCAGATGGTGATTGGTGGGGAAAAATCCCCTAATCATTTGCCCCTCACAGGTGGCACGTGACTGGTCACGTGTTACCTGTGACAGGTATCGCCCTGTAACAGGCGACGGCCTGCTATAGGTGTCACTCGGCGAGAGGCCGAGAGATTCTCCCGCCAAAATTTTGAATTCTGGAAGTGACCCTTTGCCTATATAAAGGAGTGTTGACTTCGGTCATTTTCACACTTGAAAACTTTGTGAGAGAACATTCGGACCCCTGAACTTGCTCTGACATTTTGGACTCTTTCTGCCTACCGCCTGCTCTGACAAGCCGACTGCAAAGGATTTTCAGAACTTCATCAATCGTCACTCGTTCAGGTAACCGTCGGTTCTCTTACTCTTAATTTTCTCTTTACTTTATTCTTTTTTGAAATGGCACCACGGAAGCACACGACACGACCTAGGTTTGAATCTGACAAGATGACGGCTGAATCTAGGACTAGGAGTGCCGCCTGCCCTTTTCTGGACCCATCTTTGCCCTTTATACAAAGTCCGACTGTATCTGTGTCTATGCAGAGCGTGATGGCCAGAACAAAAAAGACTGCCAGGATCTCAAACTCAGACGGCTCCTCCCACAGGGTACCGATTAGTGAAACATCTGACCAGGCGCCAGATGTGGAAGTGAAACAAAGCGGCTTGAAATCCGGCAGTTCTGAGGGAGGAGTTAAAGTGACCCCTTGCCATTTTACAGTTGACAATTCTACATTTTCTCCTGCTCCTTTTAGAGGAGAGGAGGCGGGCCCCTCCGGGAGAGGGGAGGAGTCGTCCTCTTCGGACTCGTCAGAGGACGATTCCGAGTCTAGCTCTTCTGGCCATGCTTCCCTGGACACAGAAGAGAAAAACAGTCGCCTACAAGAGGCGAGGCTTTCTCACGCAGTTGAGAAGGGGGACGATTGGGCGGAGCCATCCGCCTCTCACCGAGAGAAAAATACCCCCTACTACTACACGGTACCTCGGGGCCGGATCACGGCCATGCAAGAGAAAGTGGAGAGCTTTATCGCAAACCACACAATGGGCCCCGGCTTTTTAGTGTTGGTGCCGGATCCAGAAGACACAGTGACCAAAGTGGTCAAGGTTCGAATATTCCAGTCCAAGAGTTGAACGTTAGGGAATTGATTTTGTCAAGTCTTTCTTCGATGCTACTCCTATGGATTTTGGCATGCACGGTCCATATAATTCCTCAAATGGTTGCACCATATTGAGCGTGACTAATTACCTCAGTAGTGGGGAATGTAGGCTGATTTAATGCATACTTTAAGGAGAGTTTCAAGCTGGTTTAATTTCGTAATAAAGGAGCTTGAATGAAGGCTTAATTGGGAGGTTACAAAGGCGCATTTCAAGGCTACTTTGAAGGAAGAATTTGAACAGCAGTTTGGAGTCAATTTGCTGAACGTTCTTCCCTTATTTTTAGCTATGTTTCCCTTGTGATAAGCTTTCTTAATTAGAGTAATAATTAGTTGTAATGGGGATTAGGTTGGACGGTTATGAGCCACTTAATCTACCCAGCTTTGTTATTTCTGATTTGTTGTTTGTTTTAGCTAAGTGTGGTGGCGATTAAATGATGTACTAAAAGCTATAAATAGCATGCTAATGATCAATGAAAGGCACCCCAGAAAATTTGCAAAAAACACACGAGTGTATGATCTAAATTTGACTTGTGCTAGTCAGGTTTATTTTCCAAATTTGAGAGTTACCTCAATTTGAAGAGTTTGTGTTTTAGTGAGAGTTCCTAAGACTTAAACTGGTAGTTGTCAAATAGGTGAGAGTTCCCTAATCACTACTACGCCCAAACAAGTGAGTGAGTGTTCCTCATTGTTATATCCTCAAGGTTAAGGGTGAGAGTTCCCCTAATCCTTCTTAGTTACTCCACATTGATACTTCTAAATTAAACTAAACACAACACGCATTCCAGACCGTTTGTAAACAAGTTTCTCACCTTGCCTACACATCATTTGGCGCGTCAGGTAGGGGGAGAGTTTTCTTAAATTCTTCCAAAGGGGTCGAATACCTACATACCATGGGAGAAAATCAAGACTTGAGGACAGCTTTGGAAGCTCTTAATCGATCCATTGCTAGTCAAGAGAGGTTGGTCGAGACCAACGCCAATCTACAAGGGAACCTGACTGCCTTAATGGCAAGGCTCATGAACGAGCATGATAGGAGAGATCAAGGCGAAGACCCTCCACCTAGGAGGGAAGATAGGAGTCTCAAAGTGGACGTCCCTGCCTTTGATGGGACACTTGATCCAGAAAAGTACTTGGAATGGGAGAAATCCTTGGAGAGGTATTTTGATTACAAGGACATTCAAGAGGAGTTCCAAAAATACAAGATGGCCAAGGTGAAGTTGAAAGGCTATGGAGATAATTGGCTACAAGGAGAGCAAAGGGGGCGTACTCTTAGGGGTAAGGCGTCCATTTCTACTTGGAGCAAGTTGAAGAAAAGGATGAGGGATCGTTTTATTCCTCACAATTTCAAGCAAAGTCAATATGTGAAGTGGAGCACTTTGCAACAAAATGGAGAATCGTCTGAGGACTACATCAAAGAGTTTGACAGACTTTCTATCGTGTGTGAAATCACGGGAATGAAGAACTCAGATGGGACGTTTCGTGGCTGGGTTGGATCAAGAGTTGCAAGACAAACTTGAAGGTTACACCAATTTAACCTTTGCTGAAGCTTGCAAATTTGTGATCAAGTTTGATTCAAAAAGGAAGAAGAAGAAGCCGATTGTCACCCCTCAAGCGGCACGAAGACCAACCTTCCCTGTCAAGGATGGTTCTTCTTTTGTCAAAGCCAACGATCCACCTAAGAAGGACAAGAAAGATTTCAAAATGAGTGACATTGTTTGTTACAAGTGCGGAGGAAGGGGTCATTTTAAGAAGGATTGTCCAAATTCCAGAGCTTTGACCATACAAGAGGTAAAGCTTATTGCTAACCAAACTATCAATTGGGAGGATTTCGAGGTTGAAGAAGTGGAGGACGTGAATTCTACTGAAGGGGACGGGGAGGAAGAGCAATGTTTCCCCGAAGAAGAGACCAAAATAAATCTGGTTGTGAGAAGGGCGTTGCAAGCTCGCGTTGACGAACCCTTAGCACGCAAAGGCAACATATTTTCATTACCAAGTGCAAGATTAAAGGCGAGGTATGTGATTTAATTGTTGATGGTGGTAGTGAGGCAAACACAGTTTCCAAAACCTTGATAGTTAGACTTGGTCTTACAACGACAAATCACCCACATCCTTATAAGTTGAGTTGGTTGGACTCTAATTCTAGCACGGGGGTTAGGAAACAATGCATGGTTAGTTTTTCTATTGGGTCTTATCATGATACTCAACTGTGTGATGTTGTGTCTATGGATGCTTGTCACATTTTGCTTGGTAGACCTTGGCAAACTGATCGAAAATCTCAACATGATGGGTACCATAACACTTACACTATAACTCACCAAGGAAAACAAAAAAAATTGCACCCCTTACCACCCCCGCGGTTTTCACAAAATCCTAAACAATCAAAGGAGGTGTCATTGCTTACCCTTAAGGAATTTGAAAGGGAAATTGATGGTGAGGAGGAATTATACTTGTTGTACTCTAAAGAGATCCACGAAAATTTTGTGAGTCAAAATCCCAAATTAGCTCAGTTGATTAAGGATTTTGAGGATGTTTTTCCCGATGAGTTACCGAAAGAGTTACCACCTTTGAGGGGAATTGAACATCAAATTGACCTCATTCCCGGTGCTCCTTTGCCTAACAAACCTGCCTATAGGTGTAATCCCTTGGAAACTAAGGAATTGCAACGACAAATTGAGGAGTTGATGAGTATGGGGTATGTACGTGAGTCTATGAGTCCGTGTGCTGTTCCTGCTCTTTTGGTCCCTAAAAAGGATGGTACATGGCGTATGTGTATTGATAGTAGGGCTGTTAACAATACTATCAAGTATAGGTTTCCAATTCCAAGACTAGATGACATGCTTAATGAACTGAGTGGCTCGAAGTGGTTTTCAAAAGTGGATTTGAGGAGTGGTTATCATCAAATTCGGATGAGAAAAGGAGATGAATGGAAGACCGCTTTCAAAACCAAGCACGGCTTGTATGAGTGGCTCGTGATGCCATTTGGACTCACCAACGCACCTAGCACTTTCATGAGGTTGATGAACGAGGTGTTGCGGCCTTTCCTTGGAAAATTCGTGGTGGTGTACCTTGATGATATCCTTATTTATAGCAAAAATGGGGACGAACATTTGATACATTTATTTAAAGTTTTCGCGGTTTTGAGAGAACAAAAATTGTATGGAAAACTTGAAAAATGTAATTTTATGCTATATGAGGTCACTTTTCTTGGTTACATTGTTTCAGGAGAAGGAGTGAAAGTTGATCCTAGCAAGATTGAGGCTATTCAATCATGGCCTAGTCCAAAGACACTCACGGAGGTCCGTTCTTTCCATGGATTAGCTTCCTTTTATAGGAGGTTCATTCGTAATTTCAGCACTCTCATGACCCCTATCACCGAGTGCACAAAGAAGGGCTCATTTGAGTGGACTCCTCAAGCTCAAAAGGCATTTGAAGTGATCAAAGAAAAAATGTGCAATAAACCCATCCTAGCACTTCCAGATTTTTCAAAACCATTTGAAGTTGAGTGTGATGCAAGCGGAAAGGGGATTGGTGCCGTGTTGATTCAAGAAGGGCGTCCTATTGCCTACTTTAGTGAGAAATTGAGCCAAGGCAAGCTGAATTATTCCACCTATGATAAGGAGTTCTATGCAATGGTGCGAGCTTTGAATCATTGGTCGCACTACTTGAGACCACAACCCTTCATACTTCATTCTGACCATGAATCTTTGAGGTTCATCCATGGCCAAAAGAAGTTGAATTCGAGACATGCAAAGTGGGTGGAATTCTTGCAAACATTTAACTTTTCATCAAAGTACAAGAGTGGAAAGGCGAATGTTGTTGCGGATGCCTTATCTCGAAGGCATACTTTACTTGGAGTCGTTGAGGCGAAAGTCCTTGGGTTCGAATTAATCAAGGAATACTACAAGGAAGATGATGATTTCAAGGTCATTTTGGAGAAATGCGTGAATGGTAGTTATGAATTATTTTCCTTACAAAATGATTTTCTTTTTAAGGGAAATAGGTTATGCATTCCTAAATGTCCAATTCGAAGCTTGTTGATTCATGAAGCGCATGGAGGAGGTCTAGCAGGCCATTTCGGAGTTCAAAAGACTATGGAGCTTCTTCAAGCTCACTTTTATTGGCCTAATATGCAATCCACTGTTCACCGTGTTGTAGCGCGTTGCTCTACTTGTCAAAGGGCAAAGATGGTGTTTCACAAAGGTCTTTACAAGCCATTGCCAATTCCGGAGAGACCTTGGGAAGACATAAGCATGGATTTCATTATGGCTTTACCTAGAACTCAAAGAGGTAAGGACTCAATCATGGTGGTAGTTGATCGTTTTTCAAAAATGGCTCACTTTGTCCCTTGTCATAAAACCGAGGATGCTACGAAGGTGGCGAAATTATATTTTGATGGGGTTGTTCGTTTCCATGGAATCCCACGCACCATTGTTTCAGATCGAGATACAAAGTTCCAAAGTCATTTTTGGAAGTCCTTGTGGCGTCTTATGGGAACCAAGTTGCTGTTTTCTACCTCACATCACCCCCAAACCGATGGCCAAACCGAGGTGGTGAATAGGGTACTAGATTCTTTGCTTAGGACCTTGGTTAGTAAGAGCACCAAAGATTGGGATGTCAAACTCGCTCATGCCGAGTTTGCTTACAATAGAACTCCTAGCGCTACTACAAATTATTCTCCTTTTGAAGTAGTCTATGGTTCTAATCCTTATGTTCCAATTGATCTCATAGCGCTGCCTCGAGACAAGTTCGTGCATGGAGGTGCCAAGGAACAAGCCGAGTTCATGGTGAAAATCCACAAGGAAGTAAGGAAGAACATCGAGAAGGCTAATGAAATCTATAAGAAGCAAGCCAACAAGAGAGTCAAAAACGTGAGAAGTTTTGAAGTTGGTGACTTAGTGTGGATCTACATGAGGAAGGAAAGGTTTCCCAATCAAAGGAAGAACAAGCTCATGCCACGAGCCGAGGGTCCATTTGAGATAGTGGAAAAGATCAATGACAATGCCTACAAGGTAGATTTAGGAGGAAAGTATGGCGTCTCAAGCACATTCAATGTGGGGGATCTAGCACCGTACTATAATGATGAAGAATTGAGGGCAATTCCCTTTGAAGAAGGGGAGGATGACCAAAGTGGTCAAGGTTCGAATATTCCAGTCCAAGAGTTGAATGTTAGGGAATTGATTTTGTCCAAGTCTTTCTTCGATGCTACTCCTATGGATTTTGGCATGCACGGTCCATATAATTCCTCAAATGGTTGCACCATATTGAGCGTGACTATTTACCTCAGTAATGGGGGAATGTAGGCTGATTTAATGCATACTTTAAGGAGAGTTTCAAGCTGGTTTAATTTCGTAATAAAGGAGCTTGAATGAAGGCTTAATTGGGAGGTTACAAAGGCGCATTTCAAGGCTACTTTGAAGGAAGAATTTGAACA